CTGAAAAGATGGCAGACAATTGAGGAAGACAAGCTGAACTGTACTCCACCTGCACACACACATACGCACACACATACACATGCACATACATATGCACACATATACATATACAAACCCATGCACATACCCACATGCACACACATAAGCATACATGCACATATGCACACATGCATGTACACGCACATGCATACACAACTGTTTGCAGAGAGTAGAATCCCTCACTAATTCTAAGTCACACCTTTCTACCCTGTCCTCCAAATAGTAAAGTCTGGGACACTCCTTTAATATTTTTGGCCTCCTACCTAGACAAGAGGTTGTCGTTGTGCTCAGGGGAAGTCCGGAAGTCTTCTGGAACAGTTAGCCAGGACTGAGAAAAGCTGCAGAGGAAGCTTTACCTAGAGATACTGTCCCCACCACAGGGGACAGGGAGGGGGTGACACATAGCTTCGGACAGCTGGCACTTGGGCCAAGATTCTCTACTGACCATAAATAATGGTCACAGGGTATAAACAAATGATCTCGCAAAGGCCACTCTGTGACCACATCTGAACCAAGAACAGGTTGGAACCGTAACTTAAATGACCGCATCCCACTCTCTCCCCGTGACACCAGCGATGGCCACTATCTGCCAGCCACAGCCCGCACTCCACTTTCAACCCTCTCACACCTCTGAGATGAAAGTATTGGGGGTCCCAACTAGAGACCAAACCAACCAGAATTGCTTCATCTTTCTCTAAAGTCACCCAGCACAAGCCCAAGAGTACTCTGTTTCACCGAATGTTGAAGTTTTTCCTATCTCCCTCCTTCCCTCCCTCCCTCATTTCCTTCCTCTCCTCCTGCTCCTCCCCCCTCCCCTTTCATGTAGGATCTCATGTAGCTCAGGTAACCTCAAATTCATAATTCACTATGTAGCCAAGGATGTCCTTATAAACTTTTGATTCTCCTGCCTCCACCTCTCGAGTGCTAGGATGACAAGTATGCACTACCACACCTTGTTTATGTGGTGCTGGAGATGGAATCCAGGTCTTTGTGCATGCCAGGCAAACACTGTACCAACTGAGCTACATTCTCAGTCCTTTTTGCTGTTACTACATTTATTTAGTGTGAGGGGAGCATGCATCACAGTGCAGATGTGGAGGTCAGAGGACAGTTTGCAGGAATCATTTCTCCCCTTCCACCAAGAGTTCCAGGTATTATACTCAGGTTATCAGGCTTGGCTGCAAGTGCCTTTACCTGCTGAGCCATCTCACTGGCCCTCTTTTGGCTTTGTGAGAAAAGGTCTCACCATGTAGCCCTAGATGGCCTGGAACTTGATATGTAGACCAGGCTGGCCTTGGACTTTCTGTAATCCTATCCCTGCCTCCCAAGTGCTAGGATTACAGGAATGCCTCTCATTGCACAGCCCAAGATGGAAGATCTTGTTCCTCTGGAATCAGAACTGAGAGTTCATTTTGTCTATAGCTACTTTCCCCCAGTTGTTCAGATTAGATTAGAAACAGGGTCAATTTATATCAGTACAGAGAGAGAGAGAGACAGAGAGAGACAGAGAGAGAGACAGAGAGAGAGAAAGTGGTACATGCCTGTAATTAAGGCACTGGAGACAGAGTCAGGAGGACCTGGAGCTGAAGACCTGTACTACATAGAGAGGGAGAGGAAGGGAGGGGAAGGAAGAAGAGAAAGAGACTGGCTATATGACCAACTCCTGGACACAGCTATACCTGAATCCAGAAACCTTCCTTTTTTCCAATACCATGAACCAACACATTTTCTGGGTGTTTTAATTCATTTTAGTGTGTTTCTGTCCCTCACATCCATGACAGCCTTGACTAATCTGGAAATGAGTTAAGCCAGGTCTTGTGGCTCACTCTTGGCACTTGGAAGACTGAAGCAGCTTGAGCTAAAGAGTGAGACCTTGCCTCAAATACTAACAACAGGGCTGGGGATGTGGCTCAGTTGGTAGAGAGCTTGCCTGGCATGCACCAAGCCCTGGGTTTCATCCCTAGCACCACAAAAACTGAGCATGATTGTGCACACCTGTCACCCCAGCACTTGAGCGATTGAGGCAGGAGGATTAGGAGTTCAAGGTTATCCTTGCTACACAGTGAGTTTGAGGCTAGCCTGAGCTATACCTCAAAAAAGGGGGGATGCGGCAGGAGAGATGGCTCAATGGTTAAGAGCACTGGCTGCTCGTGGAGGGGACCAGGGTTCAGCTCCTAGCACCAATATAGCAGCTAACAATCATACTGAACTTCAGTTCCAGGGAGTTATGGGTCCTCTTATGGCCTCCACAGGCATTGCACACACATAATGCACATACATACATACACATACATACATACATACATACATACATACATACATCTGGAATTATGAGCAATTGTTAGGTGCCATGTGGGTGCTGAGATTCCAACAAAATACAGGCAAAATACTCACACATACACATTAAAAAACAATCAAAAAATTTTTATTGCCTTTTTGAGACACAGTCTCTGTGTTGTGGGGCTTTTAAGGCTGTACTGTCTTATGTTATGATATTAATGTTAACATATTTTAGGGACAAGAAATGGAAAGGTTGTGGTTTAATAGTGTTGTGTTTGTATGTTAAGTTGACAAGGGGTCAATTGTACTGGACAGCTTTAGTGTCAATTTGACACACCTGGGTAGAGAGACCCTCAGCTGGGGAATTGCCTCCATTGGATTAGCCTGTGGCCACTTCTGTGGGGCATCTTCTTGATTGTTGAGTGATGTGGGAGGGCCCTGCTCACTGTGGGTGTTGCCACCCCTGGGCAGGTGTTCCTGTATCGTGTAAGAAAGCAGGCTGAGCAGGGGCCAGGGGAGCAAGCCAGTAAGCAACATTCCTCCATGGCCTGTGCTCCAGCTCCTGCCTCCAGGTTCCTGCCCTGAGTTCCTACCTTGGGCTCCCTGATGAACTGTGACCTGGGAGATGTAAGCCAAATAAACCCTTTCTTCCCCAGTTGGTACTGGTCAGAGTGTTTTGTCACAGCAATGGAGAAATAAGCTAGAACAGTCTCCCTGTAGCCCCAGCTGGCCTGGAACTCACTATATAGATGAGGCTGGCCTTCTCCTTGAATGCACAGAGATCTGCTTCCCTCTGCCACTCGAGTGCTGGGATTAAAGGCATGAGCCACCATGCCCAGCTCAAAATTTTTATTTTTTATATTTTAATGTGTGTGTATTGCCTGCATGCAGGTAAATGCACTTGTGTCCTGCAGTGCCCAAGGAGGAGAGAAGAGGCTGTCAAATCCCCTGGAACTGGAATTACGAGCAGTTGTTAGCTGACATGTGGGTGCTGAGATTCAAACCCGGGTCTTTGGCAAGAAGAAGCCAGTGTTCCTAACTGCTGAGCCATCTCTCCAACCCCTCAAAAAATTGTTTTTAAAGAAAAAAAAAGGACTGGAGAGATGCCTCAGCAGTTAAGAGCGCTGGCTGTTCTTGCAGAGGACCTAGCTAGGTTTGGTTCCCAGTACCCACATGGCAGCTAACAACCACCCAAAACTCCAGTTCTAGGGGATCTGACACCCTCTTCTGACCTCTGAGGGCAATGAATGACACAAGTGCATGTACATACATGCAGGCAAGACACTCATACAAATAAAAATGATAGATGATAGATGTAAAAAAAAGAGTTAAATAATCAAGTAGTTAATCAAGATTAACCATCATGCCATCAAAGTGATGTTTATTGCTGACTGAGACAGGGGTACACAGAAAGCTGAGGCCCCAGAGGGTCTACCTTCTGCCCCTGGCAGCCCCATTGCTGGGTGTGCCCAGTGGTACATGGCTTTCCAATATGTTGCTTAGCTTCCGCACCAGCGGGCCCTGGGACTTAAAAGGAAACTCATCCTGGTACTGGGTTGAGAAGAAGCACTGTCCACCAAGTGGGGGCTCTATGTGGCTGTACTTGCACTGTGGAGTCAAGCAGGTATTTTTGGCAGGGATAGCCTTGGAGTGACTGAGCCACCCTGGCCATCCCTGGAGGGTGGGACACAGGGTAGTGTGAAGAAGCTCAGTCAGGTTTGGCTGGTAATTACACCCTGTAGGATGGGCAAGAGGGGCCCCAGTTTGAGCTGGCCCAGGAACTGCAGAGAAAAAAGTTATCCTTGGGTCAGTAAAACTGTTCAGTGGGTAAAGGTACTTACTGCCAAAGCTGAGTACCCAAATTCAATCCCCAGGGCCCACATGGTGGAAGGAGAGAATAGACTCCTTCAAATTGTCCTCTGACTTCCACATGCATGCCATGGCATGTATGTGCTCATATGCATCCATATATACACCCGCACAAACACTAAAATGAATAAAATTTAATAAAAATAGTCCGGGTGTGGTGGCGCACACCTTTAATCCCAGCACTTGGGAGGCAGAGACATTTCTCAAATTATTGAAAAAGATAGAGACAGGAGAACTCCCAAAATCCTTCTATGAAACCAGTATCATTCTAAAACAAAAGCCAGGTAAAGACACAACAAAAATAAAACTATAGGCCCATATCCTCAATGAATAGATGAAAAAATTCTGAACAAAATACTTGCAAACCACACACAGACACACATCAAAAAGATCATTTATCATGATCAGGTCAGCTTTATTCCAGAGATTCTGGGATGGTTCACTATATGTAAGTCAACAAATGTAATAAATCATATAAATGGACTTAAAGGCAAAAATCACACTGTCATTCTCAATAGATGCAGAAAATGTCTTTGAAAAAAATTCAGCGTGCATTCATGTTAAAAGTCCTAGAGGGAATTGGATTGGAGGGAATCTACCTCAACATACATAAAGCTATGTACAACAAACCCCTAGCCAACATCATTCTAAATGGAGAAAAACTGGAAGCATTCCCATTGAAATCAGGATCCAGACAAGGCTGTCCACTATCCCCACTCCCTTACAATATAGTACTTGAAACTCTTGCTAGAGAAATACGACAAGAGAAGGAAACTAAAGGAGTAAATTGGAAAAAAGATGTCAAATTATCACTATTTTCAGATGATATATTATACATGAGAGCCCCAAAATGCCACCAAAAAACTGCTAGATAATGACTAATATTTTCAGCAAAGTGGCAGGTTACAAAATCAATTTACAAAAATCAGTAGCCTTTCTATATACCAATAACAAGCAATAAAAAAGCATTCATAGAAACCCTCCAATTCACAATACCCTTAAAAATATATGCTATCTAGAAATAAACCCAACCAAAGACAGTAAAGATCTCTACAATGCAAATTTTAAATCTTTAAAGAAAGAGATCGAGGAAGACACCAGGGGGTGGAAGGACCTACCATGCTCACAGATTGGAAGAATTATATTATAAAAATGATGATCTTACTAAATGCAAAGCAATCTATAGATTCAATGCAATGTCAATCAAAATCCTCATGATATTCTTCACATAGTTTTTTTAAAAATCCTAAAATTAATATGGAATCACAGAAGACCCCCCTATAACCAAAGCAATCTTAAGCAAAAAGAGCAATATTGGGGGAATCATTATACCAGATTTCAAACTATATTACAGAGCTATAGCCATAAAAACATCATGGCAATGGCACAAAAACAGACACATAAATCAATGGAGCAGAATAGAACATGAGTGCATGCAATTTCAGGTACCTGACATTTGACAAAGGGGCCAATAACACACAATGGAGCAAAGACAGCACCTTTAACAAATGGTGCTGGAAAAACTGTATCTCCACCTGTAGAAGAGTGAAATTGAACCCTGCACAAAAGCCAATTTCACCCTGAACAAAAGTCAACTCCAAATTGATGAAAGACCTCAATATGAAATTTTGAAACTACTGGAAGAACACGTAAGCAGTACTACAAGATAAAGGTGTAAGAAAGGACTTCCTAAGTTCGACATCAGTTGCTCAGACATTGAGGTCAATAGTCAACAAGTGAGACCTCATTAAACTAAAAAGCTTCTGTACAGCAAAAGAAACAATGAAGTGAAGAGGAAACCCACTGAGTAGGAGAAAATCTTCACCTGCTACACATCCAACAGAGGATTAATATCCAAAATACATAAAGAACTAAAAAAACAAACAAGAAAATAAATGAACCAATAAAAAGATGAGCTAAGGACCTGAACAGAGCGTTTGCAAATGAATAAATAAAAATTACTTAAGAAGCATCTGGAGAGATGGCTCAGCAGTTAAGAACACTGGTTGTTCTTGCAGAAGATCTGGGTTCAAATCCCAGCACCCACATGGCAGCTAACAACTGTCCATAATTCCAGTCCCAGGGGATCTGATAGCCTCTTCTGACCTCTGCGGGCATTGCACGACACAGGTGCATTTACTTACATGCAGGCAATACACGTATACACATAAAATAAAAATAACAAATAAATTTTAAAAAGAAAATGTATTAAAAAAGAAACACTTTTAAAATTGCCCAACATCCTTAATAATTAGAGAAATGCAATCAAAAGCACTTGAAGATTTCATCTTACCCCAGTCAGACTGGCTAAGATCAAGAGAACAAAAAACACCAAATGCTGGTGGGAATGCAATCTGCCATATGATCCAAGTTATAACACTCTGTGGCATAAACCCACAGGATTCATACCGCTGTAGAGACACCTATACATCCATGCTTATTGTGGCTCTTTTCACAATAGCTAAGAAATGGAAATAATCTAAATGTTCCTCAACTGATGAATGGCTAATGAAAATGCGATACATTTACACAATGGAGTTCTACTCAGTAGTAAGGAAAGATGAAATCATGAAATTTGCAGGTAAATGGATGGAACTAGAAACTGTTATACTAAGTGAAGTAACAGTCTCAGAAAAGCAAGCAAGATCCTAATTTGTGGATCTTAGCACCAATCCTTTATATATGGGTATATATCCTGATGTAACAGCAAGAGCCAGGAAAATGGAAAGGAAGCATAGAGGTAAATGGAAAGAGACCACCTGAGAGAGGGGAATAGTAAGAAACAAATGTTACGAAGGGGGAAAGGGGGAAAACAGGGGTATTCAACTGGAAAAGGAGGAGGGAGGGACATACAAGGAGCCATGGGAGCAAAGGGGAAGAAGGAACTCAAGAGATGGGGCAAAAATAGGAGACAAGAATTATTAAGGGGAAAATTGGGGGAATGGGGGTACCTAAATGGGAGAGGGAGGAGGGATATTAGAGAGAGAGAGAGAGAGAGAGAGGAGAGATAAATAGACCTTGTGTGGTGTAAAAAGCCAGAGGGAAATGCGTTAACTCAAAAATACATATACAATATCGGAACATGAGTGTGTGTGTATACCTGACAGCTATATAACAAAAACCACGGTGTCACACAGGAGAAACCCCCCTTCGAGTTGTTGGTCAGGGTAGTCCAAGAGACTCCCAAAATTACACAGGCTATTGCCACAGCCCTTTATTACCTCCCAGAACTTGAAGGTAAGACCCTATTGCTGAAGACAGGACAAGCTTCAGACACAGGACTTGGAGCAATGGATCTGGGACTGACCTAGAAGACTTCTCCCTGCAGACCTGTTCTCATAGTTCTATAGGATACTGTGCAAGCGGCTAAGGGAGAAAAATTAGTGTTCCAACCCAGCTCTAAAGGCCAATAACCACAAAGACTGATACATCAAACTATCTCTATTGGTGCAGTAGTGGCACTTTTATCTAGGAAGTAATCAACAGCAATCTAATTGGACTTACAGCCCTCTCAATGGCAGGGAACTCATAGATCTTAGAGAAAACCCTATCTCCTATCTTTAGACAAATGAAATTTCTTACTGTATGCTAAATATGGATCCTTGTATTTACAGACAAGTGTACCATATACCACTCATGAGAGAAGCTTCTTTTTGCAACAGATGGAGGCTATTACAGAATTCCACAACTGGTCACACACAGAGAATATATGCCTGAGAGATGCCCAGCCCTAAATGACACATCTACTGTAGAAACTCTACACCCAAGGCTCATGGGACATAACAGGGGATACAGAGAAAACCAATACATGCTTCAACTCTCACGAGTGAAGCTTCCCCATACAGCAGAGTGTGATGTGTCAGAAGGCCACAACTGGCTAAGTTTTAGAGAATGAGACTGCGGAGTGCATGTCATAGGACTCCTTCCTATATTAAACCTCATCCACCCATGACTCAGGGACCATTGTGGAAGCTTGTAAGAACCAAGGTTGATACACGAACATAAGAAAACAGAGGTTTTTAGGTCACTGGGAACTTGCTTATATAAACCTGCAACAATGGTGAGAGCATGCCCAAGACACATGCAAAGTCAATCAGACAGAAACTCAGCACAAAACCCTAGCCAAGGCACTACCGGCAACTGATTATTGCTGGGTGAAGGAAAGTAGATCTTTAAGATGAAGTGTATCCTGTCTTCTAGATAGGCTGACTAGACGCCAGTGGATGAACTTGCACTGAGGGAAATCTGGGTACAAACGCTTCACTGGATAGGACTTATTATATATGACAGAATGCGTGAAATCCAGTGGGGGGGTATGGGAGGTGTAGATGGGGGATGGGGTCTAAATTTGATTAAGATCTGTTTCATGAAATGCACAAAAACTCAAAAATATTTAAAAAACAAAATACCAAGGGGGGGGAGGGATTTGGAGAGATAGCTCAGTGGTCCAGAGCACTGGACTGCTGGATTCAGTTCCCAGTACCCAAATGGGTACAGATGGCTAGCAGCTACCTGTAACTCCAGTTTCAGGGGATCCACAGCCCTCTTCTGATCCCCACAGGCATTGCACACTTGAGTGCACTTACATATATGCAGGCAAAACACTTATACACAGAAAATAAAAAGAAAGAAAAAAATTTGGGGGGTCTTTTTGAGACAGGGTCTCCCTGTAGCTCCAGCTGGCCTGGAACTCACTATATAGACCAGGCTAGACTTGAACTCACAGAGATCTGCCTGCCTCTGCCTCTCAAGTGCTGGGACTAAATGTGCGGGCCACCATGCCTGGCATAAAAGAAAGAAATTTTTAAAAAGAAAACAACCAAAGCCTGGGAGCACTCCATTGGTAGAACGCCCAGGGTTCCATCTCCAGCACCACACAAACAGCACTGGGGAGGTGGCAGATGCAGGAGGGTCAGCATTTCAAGGCCATTCACAGCTACATAGGGAATTGGAGGCCAGTCTGAACCAGAGACCTTGTTCTGTGCACCCTCAAAAATTAAAGACCCTGAGTTTGGTTCTAGGTACTGAAAAGAAAGATGACTTTGAGCATAGGGTGACCCTAGCAGACTTGACTCTTATTCTGGGGTAACACTGGTTGGGTGGGTGCCTGGTGAGACATGCTCCCCCCTCACCGGCTCACCTTCTGTAGAAGTTCTTGTGTCATGGCGGCTCGAACTGCTCCGTGAGGCTTCATCATCTTTTGATTCGTGGTTAAAAGGTCTGATTCTAAAGATTAGGTTAGGGTTGGGGGCAAGTTAGGGAAAAGGGTGTGGTGGTGGGAGAATATGAGGGACCAAGGATAGGTGGATTCAGGGATCAAGCATCTATGTTGAACTGGGACTGAGGATGCGGGTTGAGTGTGGGAGAAGTCTGGGTATCAGGGCCAGACAGAACAGGTAACAGGAGATGTTAGGAGACGCATAAAGGTTAGGAAAGAAGGCTATGACCGAGCCAGAGGGGCGTAGTCATTAATGGGGGGGGGACCATATCTTGGGAGAAGGGGGATTTGTCTAAGGGAGGATGTGAAGTCCATTCGAGGGGGGCGGTTAATCCTTCAGGAGGTGGGAGAGTCGTGATAGAGAGGGATTTGGGAATGGAAGGGAGCTTTTGGGAGGAGGCGGGGCTTTCAGAAGGGGCGTGGCTTTTAAGGATTGGGGCCGGTCCTTGAAAATGGAATGGGTTCTTCGGGGATGGGCAGTTATGAGGGGGGCATCTAATAATCCGAATAGGTCTTGGGGGATAGGGCAGGGCTTTCAGAGGTGGGGAGGGGCTTTCGAGGCTGGGACGGGAGATTCAGTTATGGGTGGGGCTTCTAGGAACAGGAGCAGGTCTTTGGAGATGTAAGGGGGAGCCTTCAGGTATGTGAAGGGTCATTTGGGATGGGATCAGTTTTTTCAGGCATGGGCTGGGCTTTAGGAATGGGACTGGGCTCTCGGGGATGGGATGGTGCCTTCAGTGATGGGCGGTGCTTCCAGGGACCGGGCAAATTTATACAGATGCGGAGGTTGGGGGATCTTCAGGGATGCGCAGGTTTATGGAGACACGGAGTTCTGGGGAATGGGGCAGGACTCTCAGTTACGCGCGGGGCTTGCAGGAACAGAGATGAGTCTTTGGGGGTGGGGTAAGGCTTTCAGATATGGGCGGGGCTTCTAGGAACAGGATCCAGTCTGAGGATGGGACTGGGCTCTCTGGAATGGGTGGGTTTTTCGGAATGGGGAGGGTCTTTATGGGACAGGGACAGGCCTCACTCACCACCTGTACCCCCAGGCAGGTTGCTCGGTAACAAATGAAGACAGGGTGCTTTCTGTATTGGGCCAGCAACTGGAGGGTAGTAGTCAGAGCCCATGGAGGTCTGGAAGAAGTCTCCGAGCAGCTTTGCATCTCCTAGGGCCACGTGATCTTTCAGTTTCTCGTGGGAGAAGTGTCGGCGAGATGGCTGCGTCAGGGGTGGTGGCTGTAGGAACACAGACATCTAGGAAGCTCTTGGATCCAGAGGCTCCAGCGCTGCGCAACCTTGAATAGCTCCCACCCCCTTTCTGGGCCCCAGATGGAGCTTAGATTTAGTTGAATCTGTTATTTCACAGGCAGAGCCATAGAGGCTGAAAGATTCATGTGTGTGGGTGCACCTGTGTGCATGTGGCTTCTAAAAAGAGTCTTTTGATTTGTTTGTTTGTTTTGTGACAGGGTCTCCCAGTAGCCTCAACTGGCCTGGAACTTGCTATGTAGACCAAACTGGCCTAATCTCACAAAGACCACCCACCTCTGCCTCCCAAGTGCTGGGATTAAAGATGTACACCGCCATGTCTGGTTTGATTTTCTTTTTTTTTTTATTTCATGTGTGTGTTTTGCTTGCTTGTATGTATATGTACCTGGTGTGTGTACAATTCCTATGCAGGACAGAAAAGGGCAATGGGGCTGCCATATGGGTGCTGGGAAGCCAAGCTAGGTCCTCTGCAAGAGCAACCAGTGCTCTAACTATTGAACTAGCTCTCTAGCCCTGCTGTTCGCTTTTCATTATTTACTTATTTGTCTTTTTTTCTTTAATGAGTGTCCCCCGCCCCCCCCCCGCATCTATATAAGCGCATCTGTGTCATGTAATGCCTGCGGAGAGCAGTAGAGGGCATTGGATCCCCTGGAACTGCAGTTAAGGATGACTAGCTGCTATATGGGTGCTAGGAACAGAATCTGGGTCCTCTGCAAGAGCAGTCAGTGCTCTTAACTGCTGATTTATTTCTCCAGTCCTGATTTCAGTTTTTGAGATCCTAGTCCCCTTCATAAGCCATACCACCTTCTTCCCCTTCCTCTGACCTCTCCGTAGAAGAACTGTGTGGAGGTATCGAGGCTGCCTGGGCCAGGGCACCAGTTTCCCTTCAGGATGTGTGACTCTGGAGTCATGTCGTGGTGGAGAACAAATGGTTCTGTTAGGGGAAGAATGCGGACTGAGCAGATTGGGGGAAGCTTTGGAGGGAGCCGGGGTGGGGCACACATGCTGCAGGCTCTCACCAGGCTCCCAGGCATAGAAGTAGTCGTCCATGGTGGTCCTGTTTTGGAAGACGCCATCTTCAGGACCAATGCTCACATGGTGAATGCGGGCTGCTGCCTGGGCCTTGTCATACCTCAGGAAAGGTTAAGTTATAACCAAAGTGATTGCTTACAACTTTTGGGAAGGGGAACAGGGGCAGGGTCGCCCAAGACAAGAATGCATTATTTTATTTATTTAATATTTTTTTAATGTGCTGATTCATTTATTTTTATTTTGTGTTTTGCCTGCATGTATGTAAGTGCACCACATATGTGCAATGCCTACAGAGGCCAGAAGAGGGTGTCAGATCCCCTGGAACTGGAGTTATAGATGGTTGTTAGCCACCATGTGGGTGCTGGGAACCAAATCCAGGTCCTCTGTAAGAGTAGCCGGTAGTCTTAACTGCTATGCTATTTCACAGTCTCTAAGATTTACTTTTGTAATTTTTATTTTATGTGTGTGTGCCACATATATGTAAGTGCCCACAGAGACCAGAGGGGGACATTGAATTCCCTGGAGCTGGAGCTAACAGGTGATTGTGAGTCACCTGATATGGGTGCTGGGAACCAAACTTGAGTCCTCTGGAAGAGCAGCAAGTGCTCTTAACCACTGAGCCATCTCTCCAGTCCCTATTTATTTTGTATGTATGTATGTATGTATGCGTGTGTGTGTGTGTGTGTGTGTGTGAGAGAGAGAGAGCGAGAGAGAGAGAGAGAGAGAGAGAGAGAGAGAGAGAGAGGATATGTACAGGTCAGAGGACAACTTGCAGGAGTCCTCTTTTTCTACTGTGTGGGTCCCAGGGATTGAACTCAGATTGTCAAGCATGGCTGCAAGTGCCTTTACCTGCTGAGCCACCTCGCCAGCCCTTATTCCTTCTGAGACAAGGTCTAGCACCCAACAAATCCCAGTAAACCCCCTGTCTGTATGCCCCATATAGGTATGGAGCTAGGCCCAGCTTTTTATGTGGACACTAAGGATTTGAACTCATGGCCTCATATTTATGCAGCAAGTTCTTTTATCTGCTGAGCCATCTTCCCCAGCCTCCCAGGGGCTGTTTTAACGGGCAGTGTGGCACAGTGGTGGGGCTGGGTTGGGCACCTCTAAGGCAAGGAGAAGTTCCAGAGCCCTAGGCAGCACATTCATGTGCTGCAGAAAGTCAACTGTCCCATTGTGGTGGACAGACAGTGGCCCTTTGTACCTGTGTGGGGATAGCCCCTGAGGCATGTAGGTTTGTTTCACATGTGAGCACAGAGGGCCATAGCCGGTCTTGAAATCTCCCAGTTTTATGCTGGAGGAGGCCTGTGGACCGAGGATGGAAGGTAAGGATCATCGAGTCATGGATAGCTGCCCTGCCCCTCAGCAGCACCAACAAAGCCTTGATTTACCCTCTTACACATCAAGGCGGGTGGGCCTGGGAGGGCCTGGAACTGCTTCTGGTAGGAGGTCTCTTCTTGTCCCTTGTAGTCCCAAGTCAGGGTGTTGGGGCCCCCTGAGGAAGGAGGAGAGAGGGGAGTGGAGGGAGGAGGAAGAAGAGGAAGGGGAGGAGGAGGAGGAGAAAGAGTAAGAGGAGAAGGAAAAGGGATGCGGAGGAGGAAGAGAAGGGGGAGAGAGAAAGAGAGAGAGAGGGAGAGGGAGAGAGAGAAGGAGAGGGAGAGAGAGAGGGAGAGAGGGGGAGAGAGAAGGAGAGAGGGAGAGAGAGGGAGAGAGAGATGGAGAGGGAGAGAGAGGAAGAGAGAGGAGAGAGAGGGAGAGGGAGAGAGAGGAAGAGAGAGAGGGAGAGAGAGAAGGAGAGAGGGAGAGAGAGGGAGAGGAAGAGAGAGGGAGAGAGGGAGAGAGAGAAGGATACATAATTAATCTGAGGCTCAGTAAAGGCAATTGCAATGTAAGCGTAACAACTTGAGTTCCATCCCTGGGACGAGAGAGGGAGAGAGAGAGGGAGAGGGAGAGAGAGGAAGAGAGAGAGAGAAGGAGAGAGGGAGAGAGAGGGAGAGGGAGAGAGAGGAAGAGAGAGGGAGAGAGAGAGAAGGAGAGAAAGGGAGAGAGAGGGAAAGGGAGAGAGGGAGAGAGGGAGAGAGAGGAAGAGAGAGAGGGAGAGAGAAAGAGAGAGGGAGAGAGAGGAAGAGAGAGAGGGAGAGAGAAAGAGAGGGAGAGAGAGGGAGAGAGAGAAAGAGAGGGAGGGAGAGGAAGAGGGAGAGAGAGGAAAAGAATATGGCATTGATTCTCAGCAGCCTTAAAGCCTCCTGGAATTTGATTCTTTCCCTGGTAAGATTAGCTGGACAGTCCTAATTATTCTAAACTGAACGATATCTGCAAAAACACCAAAAAAAAAAAAAAAAAAAGAACCAAACCAAACCAAAAAACTTGGTGTGGTAGTGTATGCCTTTAATCCCAGCACTTGAGAGGCAGAGGCAGATAGATCTCTGTGAGATCAAGTTCAGCTTGCTCTCCATAGCAAATTCCAGGCCAGGTGGGGCTACAGGGAGACCCTGTCTCAAAAAACAAAACAACGCAACCCCTCTCCCCAAACCCACCAAAAATAATAAAAATAAGGCTGGAAAGATGACTCAGTGAGTAAAGGCAATTGCCACCAAGCCTGACAATCTGAGTTTGAGCCCTCAGTCCCACATGGGAGAAGAGAACTCACTCCAGCAAGTTGTCCTTTCCCACACACACACATCAATACATAAATATAAAAAAGACAAGAATAATTGCCAAGTATTAAGACAAAGAGGTTTCTCTCCCTCCCTCCCTCCATCCCTCCCCCTCTCTCTCTCTCTCTGCCTAGGCGGACTTCAAATGTCTTATGTAGCCAAAGATAACCTTGAACTCCTGGTCCTCCTGCTTCTGCCTCCTCAGTCCCGCTCTCTTGCTTTCTCTCTCTCTCTTCTATCTTCTTTGTTTTTTGTGTCCTGAGACAAGGCCACACTGTGTAGCCTCGGCTGGTCTGGAACTCTCAAGCTTCAGCCTTCTGAGTGCTGGGGTTATAGGCCCAGCTTACGCTCAATTTTTGCATACCCTTGGGCTTGATATTTCCCTTGTTTTACACGCTCCTTGAGGCTCAGAAACATGAAGTGATTTGATAGAAATAGAGGGGCTGGGGGCTGAAGACATGACTCATGGTAGAGCACTTGCCTGGCATTGGCTAGGCCCCAGGTTCAAACCTCAGTACTAAAAAAAGAAAAGAGGAATACAGAGGTGGTTCGGTTGGTAAAGGACTTGTCTCATGATCTTGAGGAACTGAATTTGGATGCTCAGAATCCACATAAAAAGTCAAGCATGTGAGCTAGAGAAATGAGTCAGTGGTTAGAGATCTGACTGCTCTTGCAGAGGACCTGGGTTCAGTTCCCAGCACCCACATGGCAGCTAACAACCATCTGTAACTCTAGTTTCAGGGGATTCAATGCCCTCTTCTGGTCTCTTTGGGCATTTTATACACATGGTGCCCTTATGTACATGCAAGTACAACACTCATACACATACAATAAAAAAAATAAAAAATAAAGCCATGTATGGTGGCACAAATTGTAACCACAGTGTTAGGGAGGCAGAGAAAGACAGATTCCTGGATCTTGCTGACCAGCTAATATGGCCAACTTGGGGACAGTCCAGGCTCAATTCTATAAATTTTTGTGTGCTGTTTGAGCTGAGTATCTGGAAGGCAGGGTACACACACACACACACACACACACACACACACACACACACACACTTCAGACCCAAGTATGTTTGTCTTACAGTATACTCCAAGACCCGTTATCTGGGGATGGGATTCCCTCTCCCAGCTCTGTGACAGGGAGGAAAGAGAACAGAAAAACAGCTTAAGAATAAAAATAACATGTCCTTGAGAATAGCTAGAGGTGAATCATTTCCAGAAGAGGTTATTTTTGTTTATCCTGTGAGATAAAATTGTCTGTGATGCAAAGAGAAGCTGAAGCCAGAAGTTCAGCCATGGGAAGCTCAGCCATAGGGAGAAATCTCAATTAGGAACTCCAGCTGACTGCCTCAACTTCCCCAGTTGGTTTGTGCTGGATGTTGTGAGCACCCGATTTGATGCTGTCTCTGTCTGCTGCTGTTTGTTCTTTCACTTGGAAGCCTCACCTAGGGGACACTGCTCTGCCAGGGACTCTACTGGAACTCCAGCTGACTGCCTCAAAGGGCCTCACCAGGCTTTCTGCTGGATGCTGAGTGCAGAGTTTGATGATGTTTTCCTATCTATCTATCTATCTATCTATCTATCTATCTATCTATCTATCTATCTATCTATCTATCTATCTATCATTTATCTATCATCTATCAT